ACTGGTCCTTTGCCGAGGATTAAAATTTGCCATTCCTCAACGTGTGTCTCCCATGGACGTTAAAGCAAGCTTTGAAAAGGCCTATTGGAGCCTTGAACCCCACCTCAATGATGATAATTTAAAGGAATTATCTGCAGCAACGTTACGTTTCGTTGCACTCAATTACATCGAACGCAAGAGTCCGAAACCTCCAAAGACATTGTTGAGAGCTATAGAGGAGTTAAAAGGACGCGACGACATAGTTATCACGAAACCCGACAAAGGGTCTGGTGTTGTGGTTCTAGACAAAACCGAATACTTGCGATTACTTTCTGAAGCCTCAGTCAATGATACAAGCAAGTTCCGTGCCGTTCCCCTGGAGAAACCCAAGACCAGGGGCAGACCATCCAAATATTACCACCCCCTACTACAAAAAGAGAAGATCCTAGATTCCATTGTTCGTAGAATTCTACCGAAGACCATTGCAGATTCCGTGAGCCCTACAGGTTCCAGATTGGCACATTTATATGGGTTGCCAAAAACCCACAAAGAACCATTGGCTATGAGGCCTATATTATCAGCCACCGACACGTACAACTTTCCCCTTGCTAAATGGCTCGACGAGAAATTGAAGCCCTTGTCCCTTAATCAGTATACAGTTACTGATAATTTTGATTTCACAAAAGAGATTCACGAGCTGAAGATCAACAAGGGTGAAATCTTGGTTTCGTATGATGTCTCCTCGTTATTCACAAACGTGCCTTTGGACGAAACAATAGAGATCTTGGTTAACAGAGCCTTTTCGAACAATTGGTTCAATACTACCCACAATCTTGCCCTTACCAGAACAGATCTTATTGACCTCCTAAACGTAGCCACCAAAGGCCAACTATTTCAATTTAACGGAGCTCTATACGAACAGACAGATGGCGTTGCTATGGGGTCCCCTCTCGGGCCCTTATTAGCAAACGTCTTCATGTCATCCATCGAAGATACCCTTGAGCGACAAAGAAAACTCCCATCCTATTATCGTCGATATGTTGATGATACACTCACTGTAATGCCTGATCTAGCAACAGCAACTACCTTCTTGCATACCCTCAACAGCGCCCACACTTCGGTCAAATTCACCATGGAGGTGGAGAAGAACAGCAAGCTTCCTTTCCTTGGCACCGAACTACTCAACCATGCACCTCGGATTGAAACCAAGGTATATGTGAAACCAACAAACACGGGCCTACTATTACACTACCAAAGCCATGTAGACAATCGCTACAAACGGAGCTTGCTGAAAACTATGCTGGATCGCGCACACCGATTATCTTCCTCCTGGGCCCATTTCTCTGATGAGTGTGATCGCCTAAAGAAAGTTTTCGCACGGCTTAAATACCCGGAACGCCTGGTAAATTCTACCATTAACACCTTCTTACAATCAAGAATTGTTGGTACGCAGCCCACACAGACGCCCAAAGAACCAATATCCATTGTTCGTGTGGTCATACCTTTCAAAGATCAGGAATCAGCAAATTATGTTAAGAAAGAGCTCAAGAATCTTAGCATGAAGGTGCAGACAACTGTCCAGCCAGTATTTGTTAGCCGCAAAGTTGGCCAAGATCTTAAAGTACGAGAAATCAAGCCACAGATTGTCAACCAACAACGCGTCGTTTATCAATTTCAATGTGACCTGTGTGATGCGGGTTATGTGGGCTATACACGCGGACACTTACACACACGCGTGGATGGACATAAACGAAAGGCATCTTCAATATATAAACACTACCACGAACGGCACAGCGAAGTCCCGAAAGACCTACTGAAACGTTTTAGCATTCTGAAAAAGTGTAGTAACAAGTTCGATTGTTTGGTGAACGAAATGCTTTTCATCAGAGACTTAAAACCCACTCTGAACGTGCAAAGCGATTCAATTCGCGCAAAAGTATTTGTTTAATTAGCTCGTAACATATTTATGCTAATTTAGTGTTACACCTTGCCACAAACTTCATTTTTTATTTCTCCTTGACAATGGCGTCATGATGACACCGAAACGTCGGTTTTTATCGTTAAAAATGTTTTTTTACCAAAAATTACCCGTCATAATGCTCCGTTGATACGATTCAACGTAGGCTGAAGATTTTGATGTGGACGATTAGATCGTCGACGTTTCGCTTGCATCGTTAACGATCTGATGCGTGCTCATTGTCTAAGAACACGTTCTTAGACAATGAGCACGATGTTACGAAAGATCGTTGAAGCATACGATGAAATCGTATGAACGAGGACGTTCTTTTTAACGTCCTCGTTGTACTGGATTTTAAGGTTAACGTAGTCGTCCTTTTGAACGCGCTCGTTATACTCGATCTCGGGTAGGACGCGCTCGTTCTTTTTGACGTGCTCGTTATACTCGATTTCGTGTAGAACGCGCTCGTTTTTTTTTAACGTTCTCGTTGCACTCGATTTCGTGTGCCCGTGCCCAGATGACGGCATTGATCCGAATATTGTTTTGCAACGGCTGAAAAGGAATGTCTGCTTCACTAGCAGTACTTGGCCAAGAAACCAGTTTATTTTTCGCTTACGAAACCTTTACTTTAACGTTGGGATGATAATATCGTGTAAAGACATTAGAGCACCCTTATTGCAAGTTCTCACAGCTGAATTGAGTTCGAGTTTTTTCTCTACGGCTTGCGGTTAAAAAATTTGGCCTTTTTACTGGCCACCGACATTTGTCAATAAACTACCATCTTTGGTCATCGTGGATGAAGGCTCTGTTTTAAGTTTCTTTTGTAAGGCTGTGGGCTTTCCTCGTCCCAGCGTCGAATGGTCACGCCCTCGTCACGTGCACTCTGGTGATACATCGGTGGCTTATCAGGAACAAGGCTGCCTCCAATTCAACCCTGTTGAGTACAACAGTGACGGTAAGTATGTCTGCCGTGCAAGAAACCGCTTCGGATTAGTAGAAACAACAATCGAAGTAGCTGTGAAGGGTAAACATCTCAATATGTTTGATTTTTGATTTGCGTTTGTCTCAGCTACCTGAAACTCGTTGCATATCAGCTTAAAGACCGATTGTGTCATGGCGGGAACACCATTGGCCTACTAAATTGAAAATTTGTGCGGCGGCAAAACTAACAGGATGACGGTCGTCATTTTCGCGATCTTCCACGTAACTAAAGCAATAACAAACAGTCAAACAGCTCAGCTCAGCATATATGCAAATGGCCGGCATCTTCGTCGAAATATGAAAAATCCTAAGCTTAATACATGAATAAGAAGAGAATATCAGCTATCATTTCCTTCTTTTCAATATCTAATTATTGCTGACTGTTTTTATCAATTCTCAGTAAATTCTTGTGAAGAAGTTCTGAAGAAAAAGGTAAAGAGTCGTTCCGGAAGCTACGAGCTTACGACGAACAATTTGAGATACAGTGTGAGTGTTATTTTCATTCCTCTTTCTTTCAGGATATGTATGAATTTTTTTAAAGAATGTCTGGTGGACCAACTATGTTCTTGGTTTGTTTTGCGGTTGTTGTTGTTGTTGTTTTTCTTTCCTCTCCGAACGGGAATTTTTTTTTAGCGAACTAAAGAGTTAAAAGAGATCAGGATTTGTTTTTCATCCTTACTTAAATAAAAGAAAGCTTAGTGGGCGCAAATTTTAAAATCACCCACGAACTCATAGACTATGGAATATTATTCTACCGAGAACATTTCGAGCGACGTACTGGCGAAAATCACGATGTTTTAATAGCTCGCGGCTGTTCTGTTTCCAGTAAAAAGATAATCGAGATGGCAACTAAAAAAGGACAAGTTTGGTATTCCATATTGGAGAAAAAAAATAATGTTAACGTTAAGCAAGAGAAGAACCTTTCCCAATCTGAAGAGGTGTGTATCCTCACTTTTCCTCTCCCATTCCTATCCCACCCGTCCTTCCCTTAGAGTGAGTGTAAGAAGTAAGAAAAATTTAGGCTTCAAGGTGAATTCAACCCGTTCATACCAGACACTAGTTTGGTACTACTCTACCAACTGAGTACCGAAGCCACGCATATGACGCGAGGCAAATTTTGTTAGATTCTTCGTTCTATTAAGGGAATTGTAAAAAGACGCCAGTAAAAATAGAGGCTTTGACAGAATTGGATCCTGTGCCTCCCAGATACGAGTTGAGCGCTATTAACAACTGACCCTCGCGGTCACGCATTGGAAGCAGGGTTAAATTTTCTAGGTTCATCGTTCGAAAACCACCAAAGCCTGATCTCTTTCAGGCTTCTCAACTGCAATTTATTTGGTTACATCCCGCCTGTGAGGATCTACCCCTATTCAAGGAAATAACCAGTTAGTTGCTACAAGCTGTTATTTGATTGGTTGTGTCCGTTGGATGTCTAAACATGAGTCAAACGGTTTGGCCGTAAAGCATCTTTCCAACACCGTTTCAGAAAGCTTCGCCGCGCGTCGGTTAATGCACGCAAAACCGTGAAGCGCGAGCAAAACGGACAACGGTGCAGGCTATTGGGGCGAGTTTAGATAGGTGGCCGCCTGACTAGCCGCCGGCCGGTACACTGGCTGTAATCTGTTTCGAGCTTACGGTGACCCATATAGGAAAAGTAAAAATGTTTGGCTGATATGATTTGACCTGTTAAGCCAGAAGCCCATTACCCTGGTTAAGCATAATGTCTTGTGTGCTTATTTCAGCGATAAAAAAAGATTTGAAATTAAAAGTCATACTTGAATTGTTAAAAAATATATTTGAAGCAATTCATATTTTCCAGGGTTCCGTATCCGTTAATCAATTTCTTCTTTTACCATTATGGAAGGTCTTCTGTGACATGATAACAGTCGGTAAAGGCTAGACTCTTATCGCCTGATTCTCAAATAATGACGACTGGATGGCTGATTACGGATATTGGTGGTGCGACCAGCAAGTTGTCACTGGACAAATAGCCCATTTACAAACGCTGACATGATCTTCCCAGTATTTTGGATGGTCGGTGGTTACGAGATAAAGATCACACGCAGCCACGACTCCAACCACACCCCTCTGTTGCAAACCGCAGGTGAATGTTTGGGTGGACAAAGATTTCGATCCAAAATAACAAGTTATGGCGACTTTAGAAAAGTGTTGGGTAGCTGTGCGGTTCAATAAGGCGGACGGTACAAGCTAAAAGACGGCTTTCAACAGGCTGAGTGCAGTTGAAGCATCCAAAGCGCCAACAAGATCGGCTTCTGGTATGGCTGGTGTGATGATGATTGGTAAAGGAGGAAGTAGCTGTGCACGTGCTGATCATGGGATTGGAATCAAAGAAACTAACGAAGCTTCTTTCGTTCTAGAAAACCACGAGGAACATGACTTTGGTTATGATGCTAACAGTGGAAAGGCTCCATCCCAGTCCTACTCGTTAAACTTATGAATACGTTAAAGATAATTATGCCCTTATTTTTCGAACTTACTTTAGAACTGAAGAACTTTGTAAAAATGATATTATTCATTTGATAACACATTGGGATATAAATTAGATGCACATTTTGAAATGGTCATTAATAACGCATCTTCTTCCTCTCACAGCAAAGATAGAATAACTTGACCATTACCCCAGCCGCAACGCAATAATATTTTAACATCTTTAGATCTTCACCGGCAACAATTTAAATGCCATGAGAGCCTGTTAGAGAAAATCATATTCAATAAAATGATTTTAAGTCGGACTCATACTTCATCTTTTCAAGG